AAAAAAAAAAAAAATATAAAAAAAATATATCAAAAAAAAAATTTTAATTAAATTAAACATCTTATTTATAACATTGCATTGTTTGTAATAAACATTCCGATTTTTAAAACGTGTATATAATTATAAATATTATATTATATTACGTCGAGGAAACACATTACGAAAGAAGATGAACATCGTCGTGACGCGCGCACGCATCATCTCGTCCTAATGTCCGTAAACCACACGATTATTAAAAAAAAAATAACATCAACGGTTTTTCGTTTAAGGCGCGTACACTACTTGATAAATACGGATTATAATATAATTATTATATTTTCTATACAATATCACACGTGTACCGCAAATTGTTACAATTTATTTTGTATAAAATATACATAAAATAATAATCGTTATATTTATTTTTTTTTATAAAGCTTCCAATCCAATGTTTGTTCAGTATTAAAATTTTTTTTAAATAAAAGTTATGAAAAATTATTTTAAATATATACACCTAACGTCTTTTTATCGAGCAATTTTGAATGTCCTAGAGTTATACAATGTTGTGATATTATGTCAATCTATAATTATTATTATTAATTATTATTATTATTATTATTATTATAATCATCATCATATTATTATATATAAATATATATTATTCTTATTATATATTATTGTTATTATAACTTAATGTAATTTTCTTCTTGAATTATGTTGTTTTCATCGTATTATCGTCTGTGACGATATATCCTCGGCTGTTGTCTGTCGACCGAGATCTGTACGTAGTACGTACTATATACATACATATAGGTACACATCTTCCAGTAATAATAATATTATATAATTATTATAATTGATACCCCTTCCCCTTTTCTTTTGTTATATAATTACCAGATTGGCGTTAATAGTGAAGCCACAAAAATACGCACTGTTTGTAAAAAAAAATGTTTATATAAAAATAATAAGGCTGAAGTCTTTTTAAGTTTTTCTCTTTTACGATATTATGTGCTAATGAAATATTTAAAAGTATATATTATGATATTAATGATATTTTACTTATATATTCAAAATATTGTTTGGAAAAAGAAAACCATTAGTGTTAAATCATTTTTAAATAAAAGAATATTTTAATTATTAAATTATTATTAGATAGTCTTTGTTTAGTGTACTATGTAATAATGTTTTAAACAAAAAAATATAAACCATTTTATTTGTGTAATAATTATTTGTTGTTGATTTATTGGATTTTTACATTTACGTATTAATTGTCATATAATATAGGCATAGGTATAGTAGTGTAAATACGCGTGTGCGTAGGTATACGTTCTATTTTCAAATAACTAATATTTATTTCATCGTATGTAACAGTGATTTCTGCCGATGCCTCTAATTTATTAGTAAACACTTATTAAAGGTATATAGTGAATATTGTGTTGCGCAATCAAAGAAGAACACGATTGATAAAACGTTATTTTTACCGTGCAGCGGTATTGAAAGTTCTTAACGTATTCCAGGTATTTTGTCGGTGAAAAACATGTGGGTGGAAAATCATTAAATCCTCTGCTGAAATTATTCGGGCAAGCACTATCTGTACATTAAGTGTGAAGTGGAGAGGAAGCGCATAATGTTATACATATATTTTATGTATTTATAACCATTTTGTATCGTCTGTATAGTGTAGATAAACCCACGCATGAAAATTCTGAATTCTGAATATGTAAACGGTGTGCATAGGAAAATAAAATATCCGCTAAATAATTGCATATCCGGTTATGGTGGATAAATAGATTTAAACATTTTTGCATCATTTTCTCAGCACGCTCACTTTTTTTTGTCCAGGTGTGCGAATATTTTGTCCACAAAAATTTAAAACTAGTCCGAAAAATAATGTATAATATGAGGAAAGTCTGTAATTTTCAAATGTACATGCTGATGAAATACAGCTGTTCAAGACGTGTTCCGCGTATTCAGTATCCAGTCGGTGAAGAACATATATTTATGGACGGAAAATCATTAAATCGGGCAAGTACTATCCATATACATTAAGTGTGAAGCGGAGAGGTAGCGTATACTATGTATCATATTATATCGTCTGTGGAGTATGGTGAACCCACGCATGAAAATTCCGAACTCCGAATAAATGGTGCGCATAGGTGGAGGGAATTTAGTGGCTTACTTTTCTATAATTAAGTAAACCTTACAAGTTCGTGTTATTTTAACAAGTTTATAAATATTTTATCCTATGTTAAAACATTTATTTTTATTTTTTTGGTGAGTGGGTGCTGCGTTAGTGTTTACCAAATTATCGAGTAGAGCATCAGTAGCTGGTATGTATAGAATATAGATGAGTAAATAAAAATGTAATTTCCCTCGTATAAAACTTGCATATCATTGAAAAATGATCAAACAATAACTTTCAACCCACTTCAGCGGCGTTGGATTGAAATGTAGAGGCGCAATCGCGTGACTTGATAAGCTGATCGTGTCGAAACAAATTAGGTACCTATAATTACTGAAATAATTAGGATTGATTTTACTGCAGTGAATGCATTTATTTTCCAAATCAGTTTTTGGTCTTTTTAAATTAATTTTTATGTAGTTTGAAGTACTGACAAGTGACAAGTTATACAGAATAACATTTTTTACAAAATATGTATACATCTGAACTGTAAATGCACACAAATAACTATTCGATATTCAGTATACGTCTACTCTATTAAAATTATATTATTATATGTATAACGATAGCATTACGATAAAAAATTTGATTTCTTTTGTAAAGGTTGTAGACGGTCTCATAAATACTTCAAACTACTATATACCTATTACCTACCGTAAACGTTTAATATTTTACTTAAATATACAAAAATTGTTAAATTGTCTTGGAATTTAGTGGGTAAGTACAGTACCTATATATTTATATTTCCTAACACAGTGCACAAATCGTTGGGTTGCCCCCGTCTCACAAATGTTCATAGCAAATTCGTGTCCAAGTACAACAAATTTTGTGTTGTTAATTAAACCAGTAGAGAACAATTTCTTAAATTTTTGAAGATCTTAGCTAATTTGCTAAGAAAATTATTAATTAATAATTACATCTATATATTATACTATATTTATGTAGATACTACATACACGATTCGTCATGATTATTTTATGCAACGTTGCCATAATTACATTTTCTTTATATCGTTATCTTATACTTGTCTGTATATACAAAGTAAAATTAATGAACTATTGGCAATTGATATGCGATAATTCTGTAATAAAAACGAAAAAAATATGTTTTGGAACCAAATTAAAATTAGCCATATGAAAGTTTCTATAATATCTTATTTATAATTTCAAAATATATTATATTACAGTGATAAGATGGTGAATCCAAGTCAGAATATAAAATAGAATAGGTCCTACAACGTGAAAAGTGTGAACTTATATCATGTTGTATCGAATGTTTTTTTTTAAATTCAGCATATAGAATCGTTTATTGCACAAAACTATATGTACGAATATACCCATGTCACAATAATACATTTTTTTCATGTTTTTCAGTATATAGCAAGTGGCAATGTTGCATTTATAACCATGCGGGACCGTGTATGTAAAAATTAATTTTTTTAAGAATCGTGCACTGTGTAGATATAAAATGGTTACTATAATATACACGATTCCGCAATTTTGAGAATAGTGTTTTACTTATCTAGTTTATTATTAGATTGAATTTTTATCATTACATTTAAAGGTGAGAATATATTATATAGATTATAGAGCGTCTAGTATGCTATTAATGATATTTCAATTTTAGAGCGAATGACGGGCAATATAAAATTGTAATATTTTATATAGTTATATAACTATACTGCAGCTCGGACAGTTATTGAAGTTATAAGACCGATAAAATATGCCAATAAAAAATCTACAACATGCAAGCAATTTATTCAAAATGCATAACTAATTAGTTTTTAATTACATAGCAGTCTTAAATGTGTAGGTTATACTTGAATTATAGAAAATATTAAATAAACATAAAAACACACACCTACCTACAAACTAAGATGCACTTTTTCCCTTTACAGTTTACGAAAGATGCTAACATTTGCATTTTTTATTTTAATTTTTAATCTTGTCGTTCTACCTTGATGATTAACTGAAATCATATAGAAACTATTAACCAAACCTACAACTTCCAAACTGTAATTATCATAACATCTTTTTTTGTAATATCTGATTTTATTCAAAAATTCATCGATTATAATAAAATTGTTGCCTGTTATAAATTTTTATTACATTGGACTTATACGTCTTATTTTGTGTATGAAATGCAAGGAAAAGGTAGATATACAAAAATACAATGATATTTCGTGTTTATTTTTATTTTTTTGTGTCCGTCAATCCGTATTTTGGTACAGTACAACTGTTTCAATTTTCTCCTTTTAGGATATTTCTTTTTAGTAGCTAAATGATAACTTTGGAGGTTCAAAACTGAAAAAAAATAAAAAAATTCACCGTGCTTTTCAAAATAACCGAAAAAATGGAAAAAAATGTATAGAATTTTAGGAATAATGGGAATTTATACGCAAAACCAGTTTCATGATTTGGTATTGAAACAATTAGTTCTACCTACCTTATTTGTACTAAGGAATAAATAAATTATATTAATATACAATTATGATAAAATATCATTAGAAATAAAGGCCTCCGCTGAATGGTTTTATTTTATTATAGACACAAAGATATATGTATATAATTTAATTCAAATTGAACATTTTCCATTACAGCGACCTTCTCAATGACGAGGTACTCTGGACACTTACTATATACAGCAGAGTGACTTTTCTGTTTTTTAATAATAATAATAATAATACAATATATTAGGTACTTTCATAAATACTTTTTTACTTACAATGTCTGGATTAA